CTCGTACTTCCTGAACTGGATGGTAGAGAAAAAATATTAATACAAAAAACTTAACTTTTATATGCGACTAAAATGTCCTACATGAAGATTTGATTTGATTTGATTTGATTTACTAGTTGTACCCGCAACAAATACATCTGTAGAGTGGGGAAGGGGATTGTGAGTAATATGGTTTATGACCCTAGAACTAGCAATGTACTTTATCAGGTTGATCTCTATGTGGTTCCCCCTGGAAACCATCATGACAAGTTCCTGGTGAATTTGTCATGATAGGCTAACTAACCTGAACTCATGCTCATCTTATCATCCTCCACTGGTGCCTCGCCAGCTAATACCGTTAGCGCAGACAGGAGTACCATTCCATTATCATCCATAAGAAAAGTATACACAAAGTTTTAAGCCTAATGGCAGGTGCTTTTAAGTGATGTCACACAATATTGACATGAAGTTGTTGTATTGTAGTATCACGACCTCGGTGGTCTAGCGGTCTAGCACACCGCTTTGCGACCGATGGTCGCGGGTTCGATTCCTCGCACGGCACAAACAATTTGTGTTCATGAGTATGATTGTTTGTATCGGTCTGGGTGTTTTCTATGTACAATGTGTATGTATTTACAAAAAAATAAAAGATATCTATGTATATGTATCAGTTATCTAGTATCCATAACACAAGCTTTAACTAGCTTAACTTGGGTCTAGATGGCGCTGTGTGAATTGTCCTGAGATTATTATTATTAAGGTTATATTGGTTTATGTTGGAAACTTACATTCCAACACCTAACTGGCGATAGATTTGACATATCATAAGAGTCTGTAATAGACCTACATGAATATTATGAATTTTGAACCAATACAGCGTTTGTATAAAAATACATTCTGTATTATTTGAAAACATATTTTTAATGGATGATAATGCAATGATGCACTGAAACTTTACCCTGGCGAGGCACCAGTGGGGGATGAACAATTGAGCATGAAGTCAGGTTGGTTGAAGTCATATGGCAATTTACCACGATGGTTTCTAGAGGACACGTGTAGGTCAACCTGATATGGTACATTGCTTGCTGCTGCGCTATCTGTTTAAGCTAGCGGGGCACCAGAGAAGGATGATAAAATGAGCATGAGGTCAGGTTAGTTAACCCATCTTAGCAAATGGCAATTTACCACGATGATTGCTAGGGGAAACAGCATGAAGGTCAAACTGATATAGTACATTGCTTGCAATGGTTTTTTTTTCTTATGGATGATAATAGAATGTTGTACCCGCCTGCGCTAATGGTTTACGCTGGTGGACACCAGTGGAAGATGATAAAATGAGCATAAGGTCAGGTTACGTAGCCCATATTGGCAAATAGCAATTTACCACGATGACTACTAGAAGAAACAGCATGAAGGTCAAACTGATATGGTATATTGCTTACAATGGTTTTTTTTCTGATGGATAATAATGAAATGTTGCACCCGCCTGCGCTATCTGTTTAAGCTAGCGGGGCACCAGTGGAGGATGATAAAATGAGCATGAGGTCAGGTTACTTAGCCCATCTTGGCACATGGCAATTTACCATGATTGCTAGGAGAAACAGCATGAAGGTCAAACTGATATAGTATATTGCTTACAATGGTTTTTTTATAGGTGATGGATAATAAAAATGAAAAATTCACCCGCCTGCGCTATCTGTTTAAGCTAGTGGGGTACCAGTGAAGGATGATAAAATGAGCATGAGGTCAGGTTAGTTAACCCTTCTTGGCAAATGGCAATTTACCACGATGATTGCTAGGGCAAACAGCATGAAGGTCAAACTGATATAGTACATTGCTTGCAATGGTTTTTTTTTCTTATGGATGATAATAGAATGTTGTACCCGCCTGCGCTAATGGTTTACGCTGGTGGACACCAGTGGAAGATGATTAAATGAGCATAAGGTCAGGTTACGTAACCCATATTGGCAAATAGTAATTTACCACGATGACTACTAGAAGAAACAGCATGAAGGTCAAACTGATATGGTATATTGCTTACAATGGTTTTTTTTCTGATGGATAATAATGAAATGTTGCATCCGCCTGCGCTATCTGTTTAAGCTAGTGGGGTACCAGTGGAGGATGATAAAATGAGCATGAGGTCAGGTTAGTTAGCCCATCTTGGCAAATGGCAATTTACCACGATGATTGCTAGGGGAAACAGCATGAGGGTCAAACTGATATAGTATATTGCTTGCAATGAGTTTTTTTCTTATGACTAATAATGGAATGGTGCAACCGTTTGTCGGTGAATCGGTTTACGCTAGCGGGGCATCAGTGAAAGAAGATAAAATAAGCATGAGGTCAGATTACTTAGCCCATCTTGGCAAATGGTAATTTACCACGTGGGTTTCTAGAGGACACGTGGAGGTCAAACTGACATGGTACGTTGCTTTTTTTTCTTATGGATGATAATGGTACGTTGCACCAGCGCTATTGTTTTACGCTGGCGGGGCACTGGTGGAGAATAATAAAATTAATATGAGGTCAGGTCAATAGGTTTCTAGAAGGACCCACGCCTTACGATTTGGTTATTAGTCCATATTACTAATAATCCCTAGGAGAAGGTTCTAGAACATTGAAAGCGATATTAGATTAACTCTAGACCACTGGTCCAGAGTTTAGTATAAAGCTTTATACTAAACTCTAGATCTGATTTCCGATGGTCAATTTCTGCTTCTGACGATGGTGCTTGTGCGATTGCTAGTATTTACAAACCAAAATTGATCTAAGTATATCTTTTAGTTGTCTAGTACCCGTTTTACAAGCTCTGCTTAGCTTGGGACTAGATGGCGCAACTAAAATACATTATAAATATTACCCTGGACAATTAACACCACACCTTCTAGTCCCACGGTAAGCAGAGCTTATGTTATGGGTACTAGACAACTGATATAAATACATATTTTTTTGTAAATACATACATAATATACATAGAAAATAGCCAGATCTATACAAATCATACTCAACAATACACATGTTTGCACCGTACGAGGAATCGAACCCACGACCATTGGAATTAAGGCAGCGTGCTAAACCACTAAACCACCGCGGACGTCAAATAAGACAAAAGTATCATATATACCTTTTAGAAAAATCCTTCTCCATGTTTTACGTGTACTGTACTTTAACATGTATTATGACAATTGGCAAGAAGGTCATAGACGTTTAATACAGTCATTATGCATTGCATGAGTAATAATGACACATTTCTATACGGTGTAATGATTTTTTATAACAGACAGCTATAATAATATATAGCCCAAAGAGACGAGGAAGACCTCTGTTTACTTGGCAGTCCGTTATCATGAACGACCTGAAAAACAAGGAAGTAACCGACTCGACGACCCGGGACAGATGTACCTGGCGAAGAAAGACTAGGAGAGCCGACCCCAAATGAAATGGGAAATGGCTAGGCAGAGAGAGAGAGAGAGACAGCTATAATAATATAATCTATATATTTATTTCTTTCTTTACGTCACACTAAGTGAGCGTTACAGTTTCCCAATATATCCACTTAGGAATATTGTATACATATACACAAACTTATAAAACACTTATATCTATAGTAATCTATATATCTACAACTAGCTAACTCCGCAAACGATGTTTTGGTATATAAATTAAAATCTCTATTAAAATATTGTGTTGCTGCGAGAAGGGCGAAAATTTCAGATTGTATGTACATATTTTTCAATGCTAAATTATAATAAAACAAAAAAAATTATGTCAATAAAAAAAAATTTGGGGTGGACAATCCTTATCACTTACAGGTATGAAAAATAGATAGTAGCCGATTCTCAGACCTACTGAATATGCATATAGAATTTGATAAAAATCGATCAAGCCGTTTGAGAGGAGCATGGTAACTAACATTTTGACACGAGAATTTTTTATATAGATTATTATACGCCCGAACTTTATATCTCCGGAACTATATATTTATTTATTATTATTCCATAAGCATTGCTTTGTAGTCTGTATTATCCAATTTAAGAATAGAATAGAATAGAATAGAAAATCATTTATTCAAATAAACTTACATTGAAGCACTTTTGAATAGTCATTACATTTATTTTAATCTACCGCTCGTTCGGAAAGCTGTCTCATCACAAGAAGAACGAGCAAGAAACTTGCGTGTTGCTCTTTTAAATAATCTTATTATTACTTTACATTTTTAAGTTTAAGTGTGTGAATACAAACCACCAATTAGCACTAATTCAATTAAATACTGAGAGACATAAAGATAAGGACGAGAGACTTAAGAGATGAGATGTAATAGTAAAATTACAGGGTACAGAGATATGACTTATTTCTCAGAAATGCTATCAGATGGTATTTCTGTTAACTTGTATACATATATATTATACTTGTATATATATATGTATTTATATATAATAAACAGTATCAAAGACACATCACAATTTATATATGCCATTGTGTGTACCATTCAAATAATTTAATAGGGGTAAATAAAACTACTATAATATGATATTAATCATAATTCCAATGTTATTTTTAAATTAAATTAAATATAAGACTTGCATAGATAAACAGGAAATAAGATAGTCCTGACTAATAATATTCGCAACAGCAAATCAATATATCGTCAGTCGCCACCATTACGTTTCTAAAAAACTACATGTAAATATATTCCTTGGCTCAGTGTAGCGGCCATAAAATATTTTGATGCATATGTAACGCGTAGTTCCTACTGGAACGAAGTAATTTACCTCAAAATGGCTTTACGACCTCCCACGGTATAGGTTCCACAAATGAAAATCAAATTAAAAGCACATACGAACATCAATATTTCAGGGCTTAAACCTTTTATGGAGGGAAATCTGTGACGCCATGACAGTTATTTTCCCGCGTTAATTTTTAATGGCGGCGACAGGTGTCAGCTCTGCGCACCGTTTGTGTATAAAGATTTATTCGAATATTTTTCTTATGATTTACATTATAATTATAATACTCACCCTAGAGTCGTCATTGTCACGATGGTGTACCAGAAGGCGGCAGGAATGGATGTGAAGTTGGTGTCTTGCTCGTTCTTCTCCGCGTAGAACATAACAGTTGCAAATATGATGATGGCCATGGCCAGAGAGAAAACTAGGAAACCGAGCTCGCTGGCGCAAGACTTCAGGGTATACCCGAGGATCCTGAGCCCCTGCGAGTGCCTTGAGAACTTGAAGATACGGAACACTCTGAACACTCGCAACGTAACAAATGCCCCGGACACGTCATCGTTGTCCGTGATTCCAAGTCCGATATAGTAGGGCAATATCGCCACTACGTCGATGATGGACATGACGGATCGGACGAATTTGCAGCGGTCCGGCGCTGCGAACAGTCGCAGCAAGTACTCGGCAGTGAATATCATCACGCACGCCGTGTCCAAGCAGAAGAATACTATTTTGTAGCGCTCACCACAGGGCAAGGTGCCCGCTCGGCCAGGTCTATGCCCGCATGGCACGGTCTCCACAACGTTAGCCATCACGGAGACGGCAATGAAAAATCCAGTCACATAATAAAATACTAAAGCAGCCGTGGAAGTATGCGGGTTCTCAAACGCCCGCCACATCTTCTGCCTCAAGTCTGTGAGCTGCGGGAGGCTCTGGTCTCCCGCCTCGCTGAGCTTATCATCCATAAGTCTTTCTGCATTCTCCCTCTTCCTATCCCTATAGTCCTCATAACAACAATCTCCAATGACGTCCGGGAGAATACCAAAGAACGCCAACTCCTCATCGTAACCCGTTAAGCACTCATGTTTTGGGTAATGCAGTTTCCCTGTCCTATAATAATTGAGTATATGCCTGAAAATATCAGGGTCTCTGTCAAAGAAATACTCTCGACTGTCCTCGTCGTAAAAGAACTCTCTTTCGGAGGACCCGAGGAGGGAGTCGGGATATTTTTCGAGGGTGTTCCGCCATGTCTCGAAGCGTCGTCCGGAGACGTTGATGAGGAGTTTCTCGTCCTCGGCACGGCGGCGGTCTTTGGGGACGGGCGGTGGCGGGAGCGGGTGGGTCGCGATGGGCACCCAGCCGATGGCCGCGGCGCGGGCGAACGGCAGCCATGCGGCGACGGACGCCATAGCGTTGTTGGCGCGGCACCGTCGCCGCCGCTACTGAACACTGCGCGCCCCCCCGCCGCGCGCGCTATTTCGGGCCGACCGCCCGCCCAGATGCAATCTGTGTTACCAGCTGCTGAACAGGAAATAACTTTGTCTATAAGATTAATTATACGTCAGTTTGTTTAACTGTCCCGTTTATTTGCACGTATAAATATAATATCTCAAACATTTGTTGGGTGTTGTTTTTTAATTACGTACAACTGAGTTTACTTAGTTTCTAGAGATCAAATGCCTATTTTATTGAGATGAGTGATAAAAATGTTTTTCTTTATACTCCTATTTCGGTAATGGTCTGGTAAAATAATGCCTTTATTACAATCAATATATAATCTGTTGGATTGAAATATAATATGATTATTTTAATTATCTGGAAGCGAGCACCAATGGACGTACTTGCTGACAGACATTATGCTCTTATCATAGGGTATAAAAGGGATACGGAGTATTTTTTAACAAATTGTGATTATTATTTTCTTACCAGATGATTTTTATAAGTGAAATTATTCTTAAATAGCTATCCACCCCAGCTTCGCACGGATATACATGTATTATATATATAAACCTTCCTCTTGGATCACTCTATCTGTTAAAAACCGCTTCAAATTCCGTTGCGTAGTTTTAAAGATTTAAGCATACATTGGGATGGACAGACAGCGACAGCGACTTTGTTTTATACTATGTAATGTTAATGATGTGAGTTTAATTATTTTTTAAGTTTATTCAATAACTATAATAAACAAAATTTTTATCAGTAAATTGTTTCCAACTGATTAATATAGATTGTCACATATATATAGTATGTATATAAAAGTAGGTTATATGTTATTGTAGGTTACTTTCAAAAACTTTCCTTGGATATGAAAATTATTCCTCAAATGTCACTAGTATTTTAAACGCGAAAGTTTGTGAGTATGGGTAGCGAAAGCGAAAGATAGTGGATGGAAGGATGTTTGTTACTATTTTACGGAAAAACTACTCAACAAATTTAAATGAAACTTATTAGAAGTAAACTTAGAAGTAATATCATATACATACACGGGCTATATATTTCATGCGGATGAAACAGCGGGCACTGCTAGTATATATATTATATTTTGAAAAATTTACAACCACATATTGAGATCAACATAATCAATAATAAAATTAAAAACTTCATCAAAAACTATAACATTTATCCAATTTCCAGAAAATAGGGAATTATTTTTTACACTAGCAACACACTTCCCGGGAGCGAGCGTTCTACGCACGCGCGCTGCGTGACGTCACAGCCTAATAAATTGATTTTCGTCTGCTCATCTCGCTCCTGCACACGCGATGTTCGAACACTTCATCTCTGTCATACACTTTTAAGCTCTAGTGACCTTTTGTATATTTTTCACTGCTTATAAAGAGTTTTTTTAAAAGGGTTCTGTCTTCGGATGTGAAAGGAATCTCGGGTTAGATGTCTTTGCCTAGAAAACAGCTGTGGGCTACAATTTGTAACAGAAAAGTGGTAGCAAAAATCCCTATTACACACAATTAAATGTTAATTTTTTTTATCATGCTTAATTCTGAAATGCTACTTCCATTTTCTCTAACAATAACACCGATGTATCAGTGGAAGATGATAGGATGAGCATAAGTAAATAAATATATAAATAACTCTGGACAATTAACACAACGCCGTCTAGTCCCACGGTAAGCAGAGCTTATGTTATGGGTACTAGACAACTGATATAAATACTTAGATATTGTTTTTGTAAATACATAGACAACACTCAGATGGAGGGGGGAAAGAGGATTGTTAGTAATGTGGACTGATGATCTCATTGCTAGCAATGTACCATGTCAGGTTGACCTCCACGCGGTTCCCCCTGGAAACCATCGTGATAATTTCTTGTTGAATTTGTCACGATGGGCTAACTGACCTGACCTCATGTTCATCTTATCATCCTCCACTGGTGCCCCGCCAGCGTAAACCGTTAGCGCAGGCGGATGCATCATTCCATTATCGTCCATTAAAAAAAAACACTCAGATGAATACAAACAATCATACTCATGAATACAAATGTTTACCGTGCGAGGGATCGAACCCGCGACCATTGGGGAAGTAAACCGGTGTGACAAACCGCTAGACTACCGAGGCCGGCATAATGTCAGATCAATTAGTATATTGTGATGAATTTACGTCAATTATTAACTACTATATTGAAGGGAGGGGATATTAGTAGTGTACCCATGTTAAGTTGACCTCCACGTGCTCTGTCTGCTCTGTAATTAAAAAGAAATATATATTTCTGACTGCCTCTTCGATGATTTTTCTTTTATGGATGATAATGGAATGATGCCCTCGCCTACGCTAACGGTCTACGCTGACGGGGCACCACTGCTGGATGATAAGATGAACAAGTCAGGTCAGTTAGCCCATCGTGACAAATTCAACAATAATTTATCACGATGGTTTCCAGGGGGAACCGCGTGGAGGTCAACCTGACATGGCACATTGCTAGCAATAAGATCATCAGTCCACATTACTAACTATATACAACCTTCCCACCCCCTGATGATTACAACACCGTTAACAAATAAAAATTAACCCGATAGCCGGTGGTTCTCCTGTCATTGTTACTGGAGCGGGAACACAACTACTATTTTAATAAAAACCAAATACTAGTAAAAATGTGTATTCTTCCCAAAAGGGCTCACAGCGAAAAAATAACAAAACAATATATATAATAGTCAAAAGTGACGTATGACATATTGTAATTTAAATATTGTAATGGGTGAAAACTGTGATTGGTACAGTTTATGCTGTAAATAATATAAATGACGTAGTGGAGTAACTTGAAACAGTCATGCTCGCTATAAAGTTCAAACTTGTGGCGGCGTGGTGGGCCGGGTCGATGTGCTCCCTCTAATATGGTTGAGTGCAATGATGGCTGGCTCATCCGTCATACTCGTGTACGGGTGCTGCTTGTGGGGACTGATCTGTTCAGGTTGCGAACACTGATTGGATTTTTTGATTTTTTTTTATTTTTTTTTATATAGCATATGCTGGTGGTCACTCTATTCTCCCAAATTTGAATTTAAATGAAATAGTATTATTATAAATATGTACAACATTAAAAAAAAAAAAATACGAGCTGAGTTTCTTGTCAGTTCTTCTCATCTCGAAATCATTCCGAACTGACGGTAGATTTGACATATCATAAGAGTCTGTAATAGACCTACATGAATAAAGATATTTTGAATTTGAAAAAAATTTGAATTTGAATATAAAAAATAGAAATTAAAAATATAAAGTTTGTAAAAAGGAATGGTAGACAAGCTGCCAGCAACAGTCATACTGTCTTCAAATACCCAGCAAAATGTGATCACTACCATTTATATATGACTAGCTACCCACCCTGGCTTCGCGCGTATATATGAATTACACATATTGTAGCCGACGTGCCTCGCGACTGCAAACCAGACCTGTAAAATAAAATATTAAAATATTAATAAAAATAAACACATAACAATTAGAAATAACCATACAAATATAAATGATAATTACCTTTTACTACATATATGCATGAATTGATACTTCACTGTTAAAATATATTGTTTGTTTGTAGGGTGTATCTGTAAAATTTAATGTTACATACCTGTATACCTACTTATTTGGTAATTAAATTGATCCCACCGCTTGTGCGTAGATAGCGACACCTATAGCAGTTATCACTTCCCTCGCACCGCAGATGAACGCGTCCACTATCCTCACGCTATATATGCGCAAGCGACACGGACAGCTGTAAACTTCAATCGTTTTCATTCCTGAATATTTCACCACTCCATGCTTAACTGTATCGGCTTCACATATAAAACTTCCTCTTGAATCACTCTAGCTATTTAAAAAAAACTGCCTCAAAATCCGTTGCGTAGTTTTAAAGATTTAAGCATATATAGGGACAGACAGACAGCGACAGCGACTTTGTTTTATACTATGTAGAGATTGACATTGATAAATATGTACATGAAAGACATAAAAAATGTTATTTCAATCATTTCGACTTTATTTTTAAACTAGTTGTACCAGCTACTTGGATTTAACTTTATTTTTCTAAAATAAAAGTAGCCTAAGTTACTCCTTATTACATCAGCTACCTGCCAAACAAACTCCCGTCAAAATCGGTCCAGCCATTTCAGAGATTAGCCGGAACAAACAGACAGAAAGACAGACTGACAAAAATTGTAAAAAATGTTATTTTTGTGTATGTACCGTGTTTATATTCATATGCATGTAGTAAAAAACGGTTATTTCAATATTACAAACAGACGCTCCAATTTTATTTATATGTATATATAAATAAAATTGGAGTATATTTTAAAAGATATAAAATTCTCCTGTCTCGCTGTTAGTTGCCATATTACTCCGAAATGGCTAAACTGATTTTGATTAATTCTTAGATTAGATTAGTATACTCAGTAGGTCTGATAATAGGTTGCTATCTATGTTTTACGCTCTCTACCCCTGAGTGATAAGAGTATCCCACTCCTAATAATATTATTTATTTTCTAACTTCATTTTTTTTATGGCAGTAAAAAATACATACACACTTAAATTTTCAAACTTCTACAAACAATCGTTATTTTTTAATAGCGATATTAAGTTATATCGCAAAACAATGCTTGTCGGATCTTATATCCCTAAGTGATAAGTGATAAGAGTATCCCACCCCTAAAATTTTTATTTATTTTCGAACTTAATTTTTTTTTTATGTAGTGTCATTAAACGAAAACATACGCTCTCTTATATTTTCAACTTTCTACAAGAAGAACGGTGAAAGTTTAGGAGTTATTTTCACCCATTTACAACCAACTTCTATTTTTTAATAGCGATTTTATATCCCTAAGTGATAAGACTATCCCATCCCTAAAATTTTTATTTATTTTTTTATGGCGTGTATAAGAAATATCAACTCTATGTTAAATTATTGCTATATACAA